GTCCATTAAAGCAGTCAATGCCGTAGTGGTTTTGGTGTAGAAAGAAAAACAAAACACAAGAAGAAGAAGAACGGAAGGACAACTTCTAATGTGTTTGGTCATGCTTATCTGTTGTAGTAGTAGAGTTAGACGCACCTATTTAGTGCATTTAACTAACAGATTAGTTGGCAGACTCTGCCTTCAGTCATCTTAACCAAAGCCATCCCAGAAGTCACTGGCTGAGCCCAGTTGGTTTTAGTTCCACAATCATGTTCTCTCTGGGCAGAAGTAGCACAGAAAATAAAGAGTCAGTAGCAGGGTGCATTTCCACACATTTGCTCCCATAAGCCTCTTGTAGCAAGTTTTCAGTGTACTGCTTTTTGCTAAACACTGACCAAAAGGAACGCAGTTGCTTAAGGACTGAGGCCTCCTGTGGTGCAGCTTTCTGGGAGCAACTGAAGAAAGTGATAGCAATGTATAACGACACACTTAAAAATACTTCCTTGTCTTTTTAATGTTGTTCTCAAATCATCCCTTAGGATTTGGTATTTATATCACAATATAGACTGTAGCTAAATACTTTTACAGGTCATCTTTTCTTTTTCTGTTTGTAGATAAGCTACCATAGAAGTTAGCTAACCATTTTTTTATTTTCTGTCTTCATTACAGCCACAGCATACCTAAGTGAGCATGTACTTCTAACCAAGTCTGTCAGCCTATGGCTTAAAACAGGGCATGCATTGAAGTGCCTACATGTATTTCTACCCCTAACAATGGACAAAATCTAACATTGTTCTTAAGGTACTGATTTCTGCTAATGTTGGAATGGAAAGAAAAACACACAGCGCTAATGGTCATGACATTTCCAGCTCCAACTTTCCAGATGTTAATGTTGGAGTAAAAAAACTCTCAATAAACTATGCACTTTTGGTCATTAAAAAAAACCTTACGTATGTTCCTCTGTCAGTAGTAGTTGAGGTTGGATGAAGAATAATGAGAAGTAAAATACTTTTCAGCAGAGCTTTTTAATGTATTGCTTTCTTGGTTTTAGAATAGGTCAAATAATAACAGTTTTTATTCAATGGACTATTTAATCAATAAATTACCTTCCTTGTCCAATGCTACTCAAATAACTGTGTTTTTATGTGCTCATGTCCGCTGCTTTTACATTTTGAGAGTAGAGTTAAGAAGGCCTTCATTTGGTAGAGCTGGGTAAAGTGATCTAAATGGATGTACATATGTGGACAAACTCTCTTTTCTGAAAACAACCGTATTTCACTTGAAAATTTCCAGTGTGATAGAGTGCCTGCGAACTTGCCCATCTGTCAGACCCCACTTTTTGATCTTGAACTACTCGGTGAATACAGTCAGAGGCAAAGATCTTAAAGACACTAAGGCTCTGAAGTTATGTGAAATGGCATCAGGTAGCGGGAGACGTGAAAGTTTTCCTGCCAGGAGAGAGAGCTACGCCATGGGCATAACTTGTGCTAAACTCAGAAGAAATCTATTCAGGAAAAAGTGTTTAGAAATACCCTCCTCACAGGGTAATCTTCAGAGCGTACACTTTCTGAGAAACTAAATTGCCTTAGAGATAGAAACCTGTAGGAGACCTAGCTTTAGTTTCAGTCTTCAGAGATGAGCTTATTTCTAAGAAAAACATTTTTACAAAAAAGGAATATGCCCGAAAGCAAACTGAACGCAAGGCAATCATGGCAATATTCCTTTTTGTTAAACTAGCTGATGCTGAGTGATTAGTACTATTGTTCAACTCAGCTGTTAACTCTTAGCTGGTTTCCTAGTGCTTAATTCCCGGATAATTTCAAAGAGATTTATGCATGAGTGGAGAGTTAAACATAGACCTAAATGCGGTACTGACACAGGCACTGTATAGGCATATATTTAATACAAAATAATCTGAATCCAGGCTTCAGCAACATCTTTAAGCACACTGAAGTTGAAGGGATCACTCACATTCCTACAGATCCCTGCAGCGTCGAACACCAGGTTGAATTATGGCATAGTAAGGGAGCAGTACGAGTCTTATCTCTGAATTTGCCGAGTGGGTTGAACCACTGAATTCTGGTGGTATTGAAAGAAGCCTCAATCAGTTAGTTACTTCTCTTCTGCATCTGGCTTGGCAACCAGTCAAGGAGAAGAACAGTGCTCATTTCCTATTCATGTATTATGCACAATTTGCTTTGAATACCTTGTTTATTCTAACACAAGGGCTATATTTTCATTTCATTTTGGCACTACATTAGTGGGAAGACATGAGAATTGAGAACACTACTCAGCTATCGAGCCGCAGATCAATAGACAAAAAGTTTTTAAATGGCTTTGAAATGCCTGCATTGACAAAGCTATATCCATTATTCTTCTCTTTGCTACTGGGGTACAAATAATAAATATTTTAAAAATCTCAAAATAAATCAAAGTAGTAATATTGACTGCTCAGGAGATTAGGCTTTAGTTGGTAGGATTTAAATATGCCTGGGATGTCAAAGCAATGTAACAAGCCAGTACATTTATAATGTTCTATGTCTACCTCGTAGCTTGTTGTGAAAGGATGATGACTGTTGCCAGCTTGCTTTGTTCTTATTAGTATTATTGAAGATAAGAAAGTGAAATGGCTCCATTTCAGGAATAAAGTCATTTCTTTGTGCCAAAATACTGTCAGGAAATCTTGGTGCGAGAAGATAAATCAGAGTTCTGTCTCCTGCATCAAAAAAAAAGAAGTCAACATTGCTTGAAAGAAGCCTTGCTGTTCAAGCTGGTGTTACTTCTTCTAACATCACAGATGTGAATGTCAAGTGAGTTTTCTTTGTGAATTTCTGTAATATGAAATCAAACAGACTGTTGAACTCAGGCACTTTGAAGCTCTGATTTTAAAAGTCAGGTACAATTTTAGGGAAGGGAAGGTCAGAAGAACGAGCAAGTGGAACATGTCGACCTCAGTCAATATTGTAACGTTACCTGTATAGCACAATTTGCAGCCCACGTCTAATAGGATATTTGCCTTATTGTCTTTGCCACAGGTTATCCCAGTGCTCTCAAAACTGCACTTTCAATACCTTCCTCTCTTCATGTAGATTTTATTTGAGTGAATAGCTCTCTATACACCTCCGCTTTAATCCAAAAATTCAGCCTTCCCTATGGGTCCAAAATGGCAAAACTCTTATCCAGGCCCTTACTCAGCGCAGCAACAGCAGTAGCCTCCTCCTAGTACACCTCATGTGGACCAGCCTTATCCTCAGTTATCCCGGTCCAGACACTTCTGTCTGCTTCGTTTCATTCGTTTGAATTGGACACTCGTGTCCTTATGTTGTTGTGTTCTCTGTTGCAGTAAATACATTTGTTTTCTTACTAGGACAGGACCCGTCGCTGTTTACTTGAGCTCTTGCTATTATGTCCCACCTATTACCTGTGCCTTTGCTCTAGCAGCAAGCCCAGCCCTTTTGCCCTCCGTGCCAGAAGGGCACAAAGGTCGTTTTCCACCCTTATCTCTTCCAAAGCCCTTCTCATGATACTTGCCCCAGTACTCTGCTCACTGATGACAGTAGGTAGAAAACGGACAGTGTCCTTCTTGCGCTTCAATTGCTTTTCTGGTCTTTGCCCATACAGCTTCTTGGTTGCCTACCTTTCACTCTCTTCCATATATTCATCTGGGATTGGGAGCTCTTTCAGTAGAGACTGGCTATTTTGAAACTCCTGTGAATACTGTAAAGCTTAATCTGTGATTGACACTTCCAAACTATGTTGCGAGGCTGTACCAACACGCCTTACCTGATGGAAAATACCGATGGCACACGAAGGAAGTGACATGAAAGTCACAACCGAGATAAGAAGTGAAACATCTAATTATAGATGAATCACAGGCAAACAGCAAAACCAACTGTCAGCGCTTCAGAAGAGGAGTCACTGCAAACCTTCGTGTCCTCACCTTGCAATAATTCTTACATCGGCCGTATTTATGGGCATCACTGTACACACCTTGGTCTAGCTGTTTCAACTGAGAGTAGTTCTTCGAAAGGGACAAGCTGAGACCTTGAGCAGGAGTTCATTTGTTCATTTACTTGCAAAGAATACATGTTGAAAAAGGGGGAGTGTAGTCCTTTTCTTTTCCAGTTTAAATAGAGGTACAACAGACATCAAAGGAGTATGCAATATAGCTGAGAAAACACGTATTAAAATAGACCTTCAGTGGAAAAGTGATGTAATTTCTGCCATGACTTACCAAAAAACCAACAGAAAGCGTATAAATATATCCTATATACACAAACAATACAATACAGCTGTCTTGTAAGCAGGGATTAGTAGCAGGACACTGTTATAGAAACAGCACATATTTTCCCTTGGGAAACTTAAACCCTCACAAATTTAGTCCATTCAAGGCCACAGAGAAACAATGCGTTGCTTATGCTCGTTTCCTTTCGTAGTTGCTGAGACTGACATTTTACAAACCAGGTTTCTGTACCTTTTTGACTTTATTTAAAAACTACAGAGTTCTTGGATCAGCACCCTTTTTTCCCCATTCAAAAAATTAGCTAAATGCATTCCTCTCCACAAGTACATTTTTGTATTTCCCTTACTTGGTTAAACCAGACAACATGAAGTTATTGTCACTCTTCAGTGCAAGAGCATAACTGATGGAGAAATACCATATGAAGTTCTTTAGAAAGGGTTTTAGTTGAAAAAAACAAGAGATTCATCTTAAACTAGTTTAAACAGTTCCATGACAACAGCTGGGGACAAAACTTCTGGGAAATGTGGATGAAAATTCAGACTGGAAGGTAAGATTCAGTGAAATCAATGAGTAGCAGCCGCTGCGTCGGACACAGGCACTACTACATTTAGCAACATCTTTTTAGATCAGAGGCAGACTGAGCCCTAAGATAAGCAGCCATCCATCTGTCTTATGGACATTAGGTGGCAACTGAATTCTTCACCACTCAACTTCCATTTTGTTATTTGTCATTTTAATAGTGTGAAGTTCAGATGCCCTTTCCCCTCCCATATACTACCTGTGATTGCCAACTGTGTAACGAAGAAGGTCATTCGAGATTTCCGCTTCCTCCTCCAGGTAGAGAAGAGGACGATGGCGTTTCCAGCAATTGTGACGATAAAGAGAATCCAAAGAGTCACCAGCTGCTCTGTCTGCATTGGAGAGAAGGGAAAAAAGTGTATCAGTAGGTGGGTGGGTAGTAACTTGCGTTAAGCCAGTCAATTATCCTAGGACAAATAAGATGGGATGAGATTGGAAATAAGGAGTGATGTGAGTTTTGCCATTTGATTTCTAATTATTTAGTCTAAAAGATATTCTTGTTCTTTCAGAAAATAAACACGCAACACTGCTGATGATATTCATTCCAGTTTGATCTGCAGTGGCTCTATATTACTTCTATCTTCACAAAACTACTAGCAATGTCTGTGTTTGGCTCAACACTAAAATATGATGCAGCCCTCAGTTTTCTCGTGTTGCTCCAGCAAGCTGTGAAATAATCACCTGCCTCACTTTGTAAAGAATATTAATAGATGGGCTTCTTTGGAGAAATGGGGGAAATAAATACTTCCCAGCTCCAGTGAGTCTGAGTCATCCACAAGCCCGAATAAATTCAGACATCCACTCCATGATCTAGATGTGCACCAAGATTGAAAAGAAAGCATGACCCACTGCAAGGAAAAGTAAAATTGCGTAGCGAGTGATACGTGATGACTAAACGTCCCCTAGTGGTAGTGTCTACAAAGAAAAGAAAGTCAGAAAAAAGGCTGTTCACACTCTCAAAGCATCAGGATCCTCTGGCTGCAAGAGCAAGGGCGTATGTATCCACGTTTGCTTGTCTTGTGAGTGCACGCCCAATCTTCTCCCTCATTTAGGTCTATCAAAACCTGTTTGGTCCTCTCTAGATGCAGGGTAGTTGCTTTTCAGCCGCCACTCTGCAGGTTTCCCCTGGCTGTGCAAGAGTGTGAGGTTAATGTTTTCTCCATAGCAGCCAGCCAGCTCTGAGCCTGAGAAGCACCAAGTCTGGTGAGCATGGGGTCAGCCCGGAGAAAACATTCTGCATTTCTGCAAAAACCCTCACTTAGAAACACCAGGGCACCTGTCATGTAAAGCTCTGCGTAGTGGCATGGAGTAAGATGGTTCTGCTGCTCTGCTGCCAAGACAAGTAGAAGAGAGGGGATTTTTCACAGTAACAGTTAGTTTGAAGGGTGTAGAGCAAGGGAGCTCAGGAGAGAAAAATCCTAATGTAACCAGCAGTAACAGTATACACATTATTATTAGACTTGAAGAGAGAAAAAATACATATATGGCTCAACAGAACAGGTAGTTATAAAGATAAACCCAATTTCCACAAGGCACACATCTCCCAGACCCCTGCCTTCGATGTTTCAGGAGGCGACAGTCCATGTGAATGAAATACAGAAGAGCCGTCAGCCTCCTGCTCTGCCTTCTTGTGGCTCTCCAATTCTTCAGGTACATTGGTTGCCTGCATTCACACCCTAGCAACCGGGTTATGTCAATGCAGTCATTGGGGAACTTCCAGAACCCATGCCTACCTGACTGGGCTGATGATGGAGCAGGAGGGCAGAGCACTCACTAAAAGCTACTGGCAGCCTTTAAACTGTAACTTTGTCATGGATGAGCAGAAACCAGGTCTCCTGCTGCCCTCAAAGGAAAAACTGCTCAGCTGTGAGCATGGAGAAGGAAGGTGAAATGGCAACAAAGGAGCAGGGGCAAGGAGCTTCTTGCTCTTCCATCAGCTTTGGTGCCTCCTCAGCTCTTAGCCCCCTCCTGTCCAGCAGCCATAGTCCCTCTACTGGGGAGCCACTTACGGGAACCAGCCTCAGCTTTTCTCCAGGTAGGTAGCCACACTACCCTGTGGGTCATGTGGGCATGCAGGAAAGGCAAGACCCGGTGTAAGAACAACCTGATGCTGTGCTCTGTGCCTGAACCCAGAGATTAGCTTAAGCGTACAATGAAGTCTGTGTTTAGACACTTTCACTTTTCCCGACATGATAACTTTTGCCAGCATAATCTACCATTTGGGTCACCTCACCTAACTTTAAAGCTCTAAAGAGAAACAACTACTCTAAATTGTCACAGTGTTGTCTAGATAATAGCAGTATCCCAGAGATGAGTCACCATTCATCTCACCTACCTTGGGATGGCCTGTCTCCACTGATTATAGAGTGACCTAGATAAGACAACTTGTGTGGGCTGGATGCTTAGCTTTTAGACAAAAAAACCTCCACCTTTTTTGGGTGTCTGCAAATCTAATGAATTTCTTGGAAACAAATTCCCTTCAAAGTGTCTGGCACAGACATGGTGGAACTATTTTTATGGGGATGCTTTGCTCTGTACAGGAATTGGAAGGAAGTGCCTTTTTGGAAGATAATTAAAATTTTAAACGTTAAGATTTCACATCATTTTCATCCTTGAAATCAGTGGCTTCTCCTCAGGGTTTGGTTTGTCTTTCTGTTTCAGGGAAGATCTTTCACACATGAAGAAAACTGAGGGGCAAGACATGTTCCCATTTTCTCTGGTATAAAATCATGAGAGCATTTTCTTGAAAGAGATTCTGCATTTCTGTGTAATACTGATACGGGTATGAACAGAACAAGGATCTGACACTCAATCCTTCTTATGATTCCTGCAGAAGAAATAGTTCTGGAGCAACAGAAAGCGTGTCAGAGGGGTGTTTCCCCACCATAGGGGCACAGAACATACAGTCAGTTTAAAGCACCTCCTGCCAAGTTAAAAAGCCATGCTTAAGAGTTACGCAATTTTAGGCTAAGCCTGTACAGAAATATACAATTAAACCAGAATACAAAGATAAACTAAAAGGCTCAAAAGCTGAATATAGGAGAGGTAAGTTTGAAAGGCCATAGACAAAGTAACGCCAAAGTTTCTGTTAATCTATTTGTGGCAGTTGCCATTCAGAGAGAAGAGAAAAAGATCTCATTCTTGGGGATTAAGGAGCTATAACAACAGGCAACTTAAATCACTGCAGCCTCTCTCAGTCTGTGTTAGCTTGTAGAATGAAAACTGGTTATTAATGGGATCCCCACCGTGATAAAAGCCTTCTCGGAGGCTAAGATTAGAGTTCAGAATGATCTTGATGAATTGGAAACCTGTACTGGAAATAAACCAAGATGGTGTTCAACAGAGGAGAAGTGCAGGACTCTACAGTGCAGTAGGTGTAATCATGTCGGGTTGGGCAAGCCTTAAAAACATTCCCCCTGCATGCAGCACATAAAGTGCCCAAGTGGAACATAATTTAGTAATGTTACCCTACCATGACAGCGACAACCACCATCATGGGATCAACACAAGTCTCGTCTGCCTCTGCTCTTATACATCAATTGTACCCAGCAGCTGTACTATGCCCACTTCTGGGCACCGTGCTTCAAGAGGGACACAGAGCAGTGAGGTGACAGCAGTCTAAAGGATATAGCCAGGCAAAAAGACTGAATTATTTCAGTTCCCTAATCTAGCAAAAATACAGACTGCAGGAACATATGAACATAGAAGTGACAAAAAGACTGGTGTAAAAAAAAGAAAGAAACAATCTCTTCTTCAGATCCACTGCAGACAGGCCAAAAAATCATTGAACCAAAACCACAGCACAGGATTCAGGTTGATAATTTTTAAAAATTGACTTTAAAATATAACACATATATATGTATAGATTGAGTCAGGGAAATTTCCATCCGTGAAGGTCTTAAAAATAGCTATTAGATTAGCGAGAACTTCCCTCCAGCTGCATTTTCTATAATTTTGTTTCATTCATAACCTTAAGGTTGCTTAGATGTATAGGTGTTTCATTTAATATCTTGTTTATTCATCAAACAAAAATTCTCTTTTTTAACAAACATCAGCAAGGTGATTTACAAAAAAACTTTGTTTAATCTTATATCGCACAGACATCAGAGGCATTCTGGGTAAAAAGAAAGACAATGTCTCCCAAACTCCTGTGTAGAAGCTTTTGGAAAGGTCTGCTTTTGCAGTGGGCATTGCTAAATACACTACATGAGAATGCCATGACACAGACTAGTGTCTTACACTAGTTCTTTTAGATCAGAAAAACTAAAGATGCTAGTGACTTAATTAAGGTCACAGAACAAATCAAAGTCGAGAGGATTTCCTTGGCTTGACTACAAGCATTGCATGCGCTGCTATTCCACACAACTGCTGTGTCTGGAGCAGAGAACTGCTTGACATCTGTAGCACATATTCATGTTTTGGTAATTTGCTTTAAGATTTAAACCAGCTTTGGTCAATGAAGCAAATCTCTTCATGGGTGAAAAGTAAGCCAGAAAACTTGCCTGAAGATTGTGCACATTTTCCTTTGCTTGTAGAAGAGGCTTGTTATTTTGTCTCTCTGACAAAATTTCTGAATCCATAGACTGTGATAAGTCTATCAAGAGCTGTATTCTGCATTCTGTTTGAGACAAAGACCATATCTGTGAGCAGCTTTAATCAAGACCATAGTTAAATCCTTTCAGAGCCAATGGGAGACATTTCGGTGCCACGATGCCAGCCCTGCTTCCAGTGCTCACCAACCAACTTCCATGCTCGCTCACTTCTCAGGATTTGTATCCCCTCAGCTGGGGGGCACCAGCTGTGGCTGTGGAACAGGGATATACCTGATAGCCCATCCCAATGCAGCTTCTGTTGCTCATGTCTTGAGGTGCCTTTGTCTGATACCAGAGCAGTTGCCTAACAGAAGGAGAGTTTCAGCTATCAATGGACAAAGCATGTTTCTACTTGAACGGGAACCCAACGTGAAACAGTTTTGTTCTAGCTGCTGGGGCTGGTTGGGAAGCAGCCTGGAAAAAATAGGTTGCCAGGTAAGAAATGAGCAAATAAACAGAAAAGAAGGAGAGTTACACTATTCCCAGTGTGACTGGCTGGCCTCTTAATGTGGAGAGAGAAGGAGTGAAGAAGAGACACTGATCCTTCATATCACAGGTCAGTAGTGTCTTAAGCTGAACAGCTTTTTCTTGCCTGTTGATTAAATTCTGGGAATAGGCAAACGGTCTTACTGCTTGCCTTTAGTATATTTTTAAAATTATGTTTCAAGTGTAGCCTGTTGCAGCAAATGAGATTGTAAGAGAGATGTAATAATGGAGCAAGCCAAACAATTTTGTAAGGA